TTCTGGAAGGAAAAAGCTTTGCTGAGACAAAGCGACCTTCTTTACAACAGAGACCTAATTACTTGTGCTGCGCGAACGGGATATTGTACAGTAGGCAGTGTTTCTGGCGGCTACATTCAGAGGTTGAAATTAATCCCACATAGAGGTCTGATTCCAGCTGCACTTACATGGACGGTCATTCTCACAGGGGAAGACCTAAGGGTTTAGACCAATTTAGTGGCTGTGATATTTGCTTAAGAAAAAAATAGGTGGGTTGTTTTAAGGTCTAACACGCTCTTATTAACACCACAGCAGGATATTAAGACAGTGGACCTCAAACTTGTTTGGAAGTCAGGCCACTGAGGGATTAATACCAAACATTTGCAAAGGTGGAAACTAATTGATTAGCAACAGATGTAACTATATCAGATGGAAGGGGCCGAAAGTAAAACCCGGAAGCACGACTGTGTTAACACAGAGGAAGAGGGAGAGAGAAAAACTAGGGAAGAGCAGCTGATAGACTGAGTTTCATTTGTGGGTTGTTGTTTTTTTCCCATTTAATTTGTTGCTGCTTAATTATTTTATCTCTGACTAGTGACTGTCAGCAGCCAAACATTAGCAGGGGCAGAAGTGTCAGAAATATTCATGGATGAAAAATGCAAATTGGAAAGTTCTGGACAGACATCAATTTTCCTTTTGTTGTGAAAACTAGTCAAACGTTGCCATTTCATACTTTTAGTGCCGGAACACAGCTCAGCCCCCATCTCGGGACACGGGGGCAGAGCGTGGCGCGTGCAGTGTACGGAGGTACAAGCCTTTGGTAAGAACAGCTCTTCTTGCCAGAAGCTTTGTGCCAAATTGGATTCCAGACCTCTCCCCTAGCACAAGCTTAACTCCTCACTCCTCTGGCATTTCCGAGTGCATTTCTGAGTGTCTGGCGCTCAGAGTCTCCTGACATTGCTCCAAGCAGAGGTTCTAAGGAGCATCTCTGTGACCCACGTACAGCCAGAGCAGTCACTGATCTGGCACCAACTTTACCAGTTTTCCAAAGCAAAACCGCCTCAGCCTGCCTCCAGGATTGGCAGGACTTGGATGGAAAAGTGCACACAGCTTGGCTGCAGGTGTGCCCTTGGATGGCCCTCTGAGAGGTCAGGGCACCATTCATGCAGGTCGAAGCCACTGTCCCACCTGCTTTGTGCATTTTTAAGGAGCTGGGCTGCACCCTCATTCATGGGATTTGCAAACTGGTACCTGGTCAGATAATGCTATTTGGACTTGAAAAAACATGTTATGAAACGAGCTGCTTCTCTATACCTTTGTTTTCTCATATGTGAAATGGGGACAATAAGAGGTCCTGACCTTGCAGGGCTGCTATGAGGATTGAATGAGCTACGTTATGTAACACACACTGACCAGTGCGAGGTCGCTGCGGCTGTATTGCTATGGTTACTGTTTTATTATAATCGATCCATCCCTTTAAAACAGTGTTTCCCAAATATTTTTCATTGACACATCGCCGTCCTGAACCTCTTGCCATTTTCACTGTCATTTATTTAGTGTTTTTCTTTAAGCCGAATCACTTCCTTTCTATTTAAATGTATTTAAAAGGGAACTGTATACATCACACGGTAAGTGGAAAAATAGAATCCTGCACCATAACTAGAGAGCAAATGTAAAAAAATATATAATGAAAACCAGACAATGTAATTAATTAAGCTTGTGTCTGGTGCCTGCCAAAGGTGCTGACCCTAGGTCTTTCTATGTCTTTGCTAAAAAAGAAAGATTAGAGGGTGTCAAAAGCCCAGTGACGATGCACTGCGAGTTTCTGCTCCAGGTAACCACAAGCCATCACAGAGCTGACAAGCAAACGGCCTTCTCCCCGCAGAATTTATGAATGTCCAGCCTCTGTCTTTTCTAAAATCTTACGAGTTCAAATCAAGTCATCCTGCTTTCTTTCTGCCACTCCGGCAGACACTGGTTAGAGCATCGCTGTCCAACAGAGTGTTCCGTGATGACAGAGATGGTCTATTACCTGTGCTGTCCACTACGGCAGCCCCTACCCACGTCATCACAGCTCCTAAGCGCTTAAAATGTGGCTCACGGGCCTCAGGAACTGAATTTTTAATTTCGTTCCATTTTAACTGAAATGTAAACTGCCGCACATGCTAGCGGCTGACCTGTTGGCTAGCACAGATTCACTGAGAAAGCCACACGCGCTGGTCCTTTCACTTTGGCTCTTCCGATGAACTTCTGTTCCTTTTGAGGTTATACCCATGCTTCCTTTGAGGGCGATCTTAGGCCACCTGATTTGTCACAGGGATGTCATAGGGGGTTGTCTACAATATTCCTCATTATTGCTTAACCGAAAGCCTGGCGTGATTTCTTTTCGAGCTCTCTTTGAGGAACGGACCTATTTTCTTCTTATCAGCAATGGAATTATTCACAATAGCCACATTTTCATTTTCGCACTGGCTGCCAGGAAGCCCATAGGAAATTAAAAATCAACAACAGCAGCCCTGCAGTCCCATGAGAGGTGTATATGATTTCCACTGCTTCCTCGATGGAAACTCTCTCAGTGTCCATTTTCTCCAACTCTAATATTTTATTTCTTACTCCTATTTGTATCATTCTTTTCTATGAGTTTCTCTAGAAATTATCTTTTGTGGAATGACATAGAATGCCTTGTTATTAACTAGAGAAAAATAATGTCCAATGGCTACCAGCATTTTAAAAGAGTCACCTTCTACCCAGCATCATTTATGGTTTAAATTTAAAAAGTAAAGAAAAAAAGCATTGTAACAAAGGCTTTCTAAAACACTTTCAAACATGTGCTCAGATTTTGTTTTTGAAGTACCAACTATTGCAGAAGCACTGTTAGCTAAGAGGAGAAGAACAATTGCTCCTTTACACACTCCAACATCGAGAAAGATTTCGGAGGGCCCGAGGTGAGGGCTGGAGGCACTCTGGGTAGCATGGGAGCCGCCAGACCTGTGGCTGCATGAAATCTCAGCACTGCTGGACCAGCCCCAGGAAAGCTCGGAAAACGGTGTATGGGGGGAGAGTGGCTTCAATGCCACTGTAACCACCGTGGAAACCGTCTCCCAGGCAACGGCATATTTGCTCTGTCTGTCTCATTGCATAACTGACTTTCAGAAGCTAAAACCTGCCCAGTTGCTTCCTGGGGTGAGACGGGTGCGGGGAAAGAGTCAAAAATGAAAGGTCAAGGAAACGTCTCAAGTGATATCGCATTTTAATTTTGTGCTAAAATAAAGCTGTCTGTTTCACTATTTCATCCTCCAGGCTACACCTCCCAGCTTTCTGATGACCACTAAGAAGAACTTGAGAGACAGTCAAATAAAAGGAGTTTTTAATGGGTTTCTTTGTTTTTGTTTGTTTGGTTTTGGTTTGGGATTAAAAAGAGAAAGAGAGAGAGGGGAATATCGGGAAATCTGTCATAGCTAATTCTCTTTTTAAGCCAGAGCTGCGAGCACATGGACAGCCGGTTTCTCTATCACTTTATTCAAGTGCTGCTGTTGCCCAGCTGAACAAGTGACGTGGAATGGCTTCCAGGTGCAGGCTTCCTGGCCACATTCATCCATCCATAAGACTGCAGGTAACGGGCATAAGCAACGACTAAGCGTTCCTATACAACACATGCCCCAACATGCCGAAGACCAGACATGCCGGTCGTTTTGGAAGATGAGAAATGAATACTAAGTGTCTATTGGGCGTCGTGTAACTCAAAAGCTGACAATAGCTTTGCAAGGTGAGTATCATTATTATTTCCATTTTATAGACGAGCAAACTAAGAGTTACCTAAGGCCACAAAATTGAAACCAGGGCTTCTATTTTCAAGTTCAGTGTCATTTTTTCATCATCCCAGTCTCTGGGGAAAGTATTTTAATTAAAGCTGAGAAGGCTTATTCAGTGGGTCAATTCCACTAAGAAAACTGGCAATAAAACCCACGGCTTTTCACAAAGCTCATGGGGAATTAAGAACAACACCTTGTGAATATTGTTGTGACACAAAAAGACAGTAGAACCGGAAGCAGCTAAGAGTCAAGAGTTAGAAACAAAACAGTCCCAGGATGAGTGAACATCAACAGCTGGAAATCAGGATGCAAGGTAAGAAAAAGAAAGAAGACAAAAGGAGGATAAGTAGGCAGGGCTGGAAGAGACATCAGAAAATCAGAGAAAAGATGGAAAACTGGGGTCCCAGTTGACGGGGCAAGATCACCTCCAAAGCCAAGGTCCCACAGGCCCAGACACTCAATACCCAACCAGGGGCTGGCCAGAGGGAGGTAGAGACGTCTGCAGATTATCCTTGCCAACTACCTACCCATCACCCCTTCTTTGGAAAATTAACCTGGTTTTCATTTGGGGAGCCATCTCTCGCCTCTCTCAGACACGTGGTCAGACAAGGTCAACTCCAATCCTAGTGCCAGTGGGAGTCACATGATCCAAACCTGGCCAATCACAGAAGTCCATCACCCTACCCTGAGGTTTACGGATGGGCTCGTGACCCAAGACAGACCCAGGAGAGATGTGCGGGACTTGGCTGAAACCACCATGATGGGCTCAGGGTCTGGCACCACTGGGAGTCACCCTGTCAACCCACAGGGAGCGCCGGCCTGAAAAGGATGCCTCGGCAGAGGACACAGGAGACAGCAGCAGATTTCTGACACAAGTCCAGTCATGCCTGAGGCCAGACCTATATCTGGGCTTTTCAGTTGCAACACCAGCCAACAAGACTCAGTTCTGCTCAAGCAGTCTGAGCTGAGGGGTAAGAGCCACACTAAGAGGCCTGACCTTCGCAGGAAGCTCCACCCTGCTCACTTCTGTCTGACCGACGAAGGACCACTTCCTCAGGGCGGCTGGGCAGCTGGGATGCTGGCGTTCGGAGGCCATGGCCTCCTGAGTACAGTACTAGCACTCCATCACCAGGAGGCAAAAACGCCACCACATAACAGATGGTCAGTCCCACCCCAGCGTTGATGTCTGACTGAACACCAGGCGCTTACCTGGTACACGTGGAATGCGTTCGCTGCTTTGCCCCGGAGAAACACCGACGGGATCCAGACGTTGATCAGCGCCCGGTTTGATCTGTCCAAAGGAAAGGTCAAAACTGGTCATTTCAATTTAGCAAAAAAAAAGGAACAAACTGTCTCCTCCAAGAGGCATTATGCGCAAACAATTTATGAGAACATCTATCACATTTAATAGTAAGCTAAAAGACCAGTTTCAGTCTCACTACTTAGTCCCCCAAGATTATTTTTAAAGGACTTAGTTTAAATGTGGTGTGTGTGTGTGTGTGTGTGTGTGTGTGTGTGTGTGTGTGTGCTGGGTTATCAGAAAAGTCATGATGCATTTTTGCAACGAAAAACATAGATATATATATATATATATATATATATATATATATATATATATTTTTTTTAATTCATATATGCAATTTGTATTTTGGAATGAGAAAGAGCTGGCCTTCAGTTCTGAGCGACCATGTCTCATAATTTATCTGAGCCTCTCAGTTTCCTCATCTGAAGAAGAGGCTAATAACCAGGAGCCCCTGGTGAGACTGCAGAGAGTCACGTGTAGTCACGTGCACAGGGTCTCTGGACCACCCAGAGGAGTCATGCTTCCTCCTCGCTGTGCCCACTTTAGACCCTGACCCCGACTTTAAGATCAGACTCTATGAAAGAGCTCAGGAGACCAACAGCTACCCCAAGAGCAGTGCTGTTGGGGTGGAGGCATGGGGGTACCAGCAAGCCAGGTGCAAATACCCCTTTCGACTTTTCCAAAAGCAGTGTGTATGGTTCTGATGACATAAAATGTAAATTCCAACACACAATCCTTTACCAAGTACCCAACAATTTATGGCTCCACGCTCTTATCTACGATCTTGGTTAATCCTGAGGCTGTTGAAGGAATTCACAAGGGCTATTTTGGTTAGGTGACAGCTGTGCCTTCTGTGGTGACCTTGAACTTAACTCATAAGTCACGGGGTATACACTCCACCGCCACAGTCCTGCCAGGCTGGGCCTAGCTCACGAGGGGCTGATAAGTGGACTGTTGCTGAAACTCTGAGATCCATCACAAGAGTACCGTGCAACTCTGGGAGGCTGACTCTGCTTAGAGCTGCTCCAGGGCTAAGTGCCATCCTCCAAGCTCTCCTGCTTTCTAAAGAGCAGCTCATAAAAGTTTGCCAGCCTCCTGTGCTTAAAACTCAATTTGAGACGTTGATGATGGAAGACCGCATGACTCAATAGTCTCACAACCTCTGGAGTAAAGAGCATTTTGTTTTCACAAAGAAATGGTTCTCTCCTGAAAAAACATTTCTTCTAAGCTCTGGGCTGAGGTGCTGACCTCCTTCGTGGGGCAAAGGCAGCCCTATTGATCACTTCCCCAGGGCTCCAAGCACATATTGTAATTCTGAACCACCAAAGTGGCTTGCATAGCTAATGATATTCTTCCTATAAAGGTCCCCAAAATTGTTCTAGTGCTTAGAGTATCCCTTTTCATTTCTGTCCGTGGGGGGGTGGGGTGGAGAAGTGTAGCTAACACTTGGGTTTTTATTCATCTTCCGGGATTAATGAGGACTGGACAACCTTCCAGAGCTACCCTGAGGTCACCCTGGGCTGGGTTAGGTGTTTCTCCCTTTCAGAGCATTCACTACACTGTATTACAATGGATTGCTAACATGGCCGTCTCCCTTCTAGAGATTAGTTCATTTGCTCATTCTTTTGTTTGTTCATTCACAAATTAAGCAGAACCTACTATGTGCCAGATACTATTCTAGGTACTGGAGATAGAGGAGTGAAAAAGGCAGGTATAGTCCCTGTTCTCAAGGAGTATGCAGTTTCACGCAGGAGAGAGACAAACCCCCATAATAATTATTCCACTGTGGTCAAAGAAGATACTTTTCATAATTTCCATCTCTTTAGATTTACTGAGACTGCTTTGTGGCCCAACATATGGTCTATCCTGGCAAATGTTCCCTGTGTGCTTGAAAAGATTGTGTCTGGTGGAGTGTTCTGTAAGTGTCTGTTAAATCTAAATGGTTTATAGTGATATCCAAGCCTTCTGTTTTTTTTATTGATCGCCCCTCTAGTTATCCTTTCCATCACTGAAAGCGGGGCATTGAAGTCTCCAACTCTTATTGTTTTTTCCCTTCATTTCTGCCAAGTTTTACACCATATGTTTAGGGGCTCTGTTGTGAGGTGCATATATGTTTACAACTGTTACATGGAAATTTAAGTACCACTGTTGTAGATGCCACCACAGAATGCTGGCTGTAAGGAGAGCGAATGCTGGGGGCCTGCTTCTTTGAGGAAGCAATGTGCAGGCAGGGCTTTGAGGGATGCTAAAGAGGTAGCCATGTTGGGGAGCGAAGGCTGAGGCTGGGTGAGGTGCTTCTGGCAGGGGGATTAACATCTAAGGGCACCGAGTCTGAATCAAGACTGCCTGGGTCTGAATCCTGGCTCGAATCTGTCATCTGCAGACAATACCCATGTCCGAGGATTGTTGCAGGGACTGAGTGAGTTAGAACAATGCCTAGCACAGAGAAAATGCTGTGTCAGTGTGGGTCCCAGAAACAAAAGAATGATCCTGAGTAGGGAAGACCAAGTGAGCTAGAGGAGTCAGGTCAGCCAGGGTGGCTGGAGTGCAGGGAGCGGGAAGAGGAGGGCTGGCGATGAAGCCAGAGATTCGCAAGGGCCTTCTTCGTAAGCCACACAGAGGACTTGGGTCTCCATCTTGAGAGAGGGAAACAGCGCCTCCCTCTGGTTTTAGCGGAGGCTGCGAATCTCTGGGGGGAGAGATGACGGATGTGACTGGGCCAGGCAGAAGCTGCCTGAGGGCAGGGACTGTGGCTTCTTCGCCCCCTCCATCAAGGACCTGGCAGGACAGCATCCTGCAGTAGGTGCCTGATGAATGCTTGCTTTAGTAACAACTGCGTTCCAGTCATAACTGACTCATCTTTGGGGTTCCCCGGTCCAGTTCTCACCTCTCTTCCCAGCTTGCCCCCACCCTGGCACTCTACCAGGCTGCCATTCCATTACCCTCTTCATGCTGTACTCGCCTGACCCACGGGACCATGGGAGGCAAACTCACCTTTGATTTTCATGCTTCACATCTTAACCATGTCAACCTCCCTGCCCTACCAACCTAACTGCCACCTCCAGGTCCACTGCAGCCAGCCAAGCACTGAGGGGCCTCTTGATGCCCTCCACGTTTTTCATAATCTCCCTCTAATTGCCCCCCACAACCCTGCAAGGCTGGTATCATGACCTTCATCTGATAAGAAGAAACTCAGGCCCATGGCTTGCCCAAGGTCACACCTATGTGAGTCCTGGAGCGGGGATTTCAGCATGGCCCAGGCTGGCTCTGATGAAATGCTCTTTCTGATATCCTGCCCTCTCTCTGCAGAAGTGAGCTTTTCCCAGATGACACCATCTCGCAGGGAGGCTGAACGTTCCTCCGCTCAGCACAGCTGAATGAGAGAGGAGAGGGGTTCTGCCTGGCCTTCCCCCAGGACTCACTCCACTCTCTTTACCAGCCCAATGGGATTATCGTACCAAAAACCATGGCAACTTGATCAGAAATACCCAGCTGGAAGACCAACTAAACTCCTTAAGGGTTGTCAGCAGAGGCACCAGACAGAATTCAAACCAATCAAAAATCAGACCAATGAGCTGAACTACTGTTGCTTCCAACGACCCATGGGTTGTAAACTCAGACTCCTACAGGTGACCGGCAGACAGTGAAATGAACGCAGTGGGCCAGTGTCGGACAGTAGGAAGGAGAGGGGCCTGCAGCAGCTGCACAGCAGTCGCCCTGGCAAAGGCAGCAGCTGCTGCTCAGCTCTGCCTGGGGCCTTGAAGGATTTCAGTCTTCTTTAAAAAAAAAAAATAGAGGAATTTAAATGTTTATGTGATACCTTCCAATTCTTAAATATCAGCCAAAAAAATACATTGTTTTTCAGTACCGAGGGGAAGCAAAGAACCCATGGGAAGGCCGGACTCGGGATGCAGGCAGACAATGCCTCGCCTCTGCGATACCCAGCCAGCCCGTGCAGACTCGAACAGGGGCTTTGGTTCCCTGCTGTGGTCCTGCTGGGACCCAAGCCAAACAACGGGGTCCTGTTTTTTAAGGGGTCCCTCATGAGCAGACGCCATTCACTTACGTTTCAAAATCTGACAAACTCTGGTCTTCGGATGTTTGACTCAAATCTCCAGGCACCTGCCACCAGAAGAGGGGAAAGGGGAGAGAGAAACGCATCACGGTTACCATGGTTTGCATAATCATGAAAGAATCCCACCTCTCAGTGAGCCCTGAACAGCTCCTGTTCAGAATGAGGTGAGAAAGCAGTTACTAAAAAATAAGAGGAGATTTTGTGGGAGGACGGTTAGCGACAGGAATAAAAATATGCCACCATGAGAGATCTCATTTATCTTTACGGAAAGGACGGTCAACCCTATTGATAAAATCGCAGGCACGTAAAACCTTGTTGTTTGGGAGCTCTTAAGGCCTAGTTAGGATCTGAGAGGCAAGGTGTTAAATGTGCAGTAGAAAAAGTATCCGTTGTCACCATGATGGACATAAAACACACAGACACACCCAGCGTGTAAACACAGAAGACCATCGCCGTCCACCCCCCCCCCCCCGAGCTCCATCCTTCTCCCTCATGACATCCAAGCAGTTTAAGGCAGCAGAGCGTGGCCCATGAGAACACGACTGGGTGAAAGAAACTAAGCTGCCTGACATGATGGCAGTTATTACGCAGAAGAGACAGCAAAATGGCCAGCACTCGTTGATGATGCTCAGTAAGCGGCAACGACATTATCAGACCCAGAAAATAAGTGTCCTTTAGTGAGCTGATCGAATCCGAACTGGCTAGAATTTAAGACTGTGATTCAAAAACACAAACTGGGAAGTTGCAAAACAGTGAAGGGGATATCAAGTACAGCATAGGGAATATGGTCAATAATGTTGCAACAACTATGTATGGTGCCAGGTGGGTACTAGACTAATCGGGGGGATCACTTTGTAAATTATATAAATGTCTAACCACCATGCTGTACACCTGAAACTAATATAAAATAATATTAAAGATCAACTGTAACTGAAAAAAAATAATTTAAACAAATTAAAAAAACAACAATACAGAAAAAAGAAAAAAATATGGATCAAAATTAAGAGGAACCAGTGGGGCAGAGAAGGGTGCCAGGTACTGAGGGAAAGGGAACATTTATGTCACACTTTGCACGTGTCAGGGGTTCCGTGTTACCCACAACCTTCATCAGGCTGTGTAATAATCGCAGGGGTGGGTATTATTCCCCCACCCACTTTACAGATGAGGAAACTGAGGCTCAGGGAGGCTGTAAAAGTTGCCCGTGGTCACACCTGGAGGAAGTTGATACGAACCCAGGTCTGTCCCACTTCAAAGGCTTTTCCGCTACAAATCCTCCCAAACAGAAGACAAGCCAGCTACAAGGTGAAGGGAGAAGGTGAGGCCTGCAGAAATTCTGCCTTTGCAGAGGGTTTACAAGACACTAGAAGGCAGCCCGTAAAGAAGCGACGGGTCCCCTTTGGGGGCAGGAGAATCCAGGGGTTATGGAGCTGTGCTCCGGGGCCACGTGGCTCAGGATCCAACCCAGCTCCTCCTCCCTGACTGTATGGCCATGAGCAAATCACGTGACTTCCCTGCGCCATGCTGACCTAATCTGTAAAATGGGCGCAGCAGTAGTAATGTTCACAGGGTTAGCCTGAGGACAAAGTGAGTTCCCACACCTGTACAGTATGCGCAACAGTGCCTGGCAGGTAGGAACTTCCATGACGGACTTGTGCACGCTCATAACAACATGACAGTTACGGGGGAATAAGAACATTGTGTCCTGTCGTCCTGGACACCAGGCATCCATCTGTCCTCTCACCCCACGTATGGCAGCCCAGAGGGAGAATGACCCAACCTGGACCTGCTGCACACGTGTGAAGTGAAACAATTAAATGGGGCTCCCCGTAGCAGACTCTGCTAAGACGCTGCTATTGAGAGATTCCTTCAGACCCAACCAGGAGAAACCTGCCCAGTCGCTTGAAAAAAACTTCAGTTTCAAAAAGATCAGGAACTCCTGGGCTGGGGGTCGGTGTGGTGTAGCCTTGCTGTAAGGGGATTCATTTTCGTGTGGGTGGTTGGGGGGAGAGATGAGACGCTATGACGCTGCGTGTACCAAGCGCCCTACAAACAGCCTCACTCCCAAGAATTTATCTAGAAGAAAAAAACCAAGGACACCAACATTTACGTTAAAGATCATTCCTTTTCCCATTGCTTAGGCAAGTGAAAAAAAGAAGTGCAAACCACCTAAAGCTCCAACTAGAGAGGAATGATTTGAGAAATTATAGCACGTTGATATGAGATGGCCAAGTTAAAAATGGACACAGACACAGACAGACACACACACACAGACACACACACACACACACACATACACACTCATGAAGGTGCACACATAAAAATAATTCTGGCAAAGTATATAAGAAAATAATAACAGTGGTTATCATTGATAACAGATTAAGAGTGGATTGCGGAGAAAAGAAGGCTTATTTTTCATTTGCTATCTTTCTGTAAGATAAAATAAAAGTGTATTTTAAATGAACAGCCTTAAGAATTTTTAAACATGTTTTTGAAGAACAAGATAGCATTCCACGAGCTGTTCTGAAATGATCTCCAAGACAGATCATCAAGAGAAAGCAAAGCCGGGTGTAATCCATGGGCCTAATACACTATCTTGGGTGCAAAATGGAGAATTAAGAACACCAAGCTGTATTGGTTTTCTCAAGAAGCTATCGTAGTGAAATTCAAGGCACCAATAAAAGGGGCAGCTGGGGGGGTGGGTGGCTGGCAGGCAGCTGGTGCACTCGCAGTGACGCTGTATATTGAACACCATTTTATATCACTTGAGTTTTGAAATAATGTACTACCGCCCCCAAATTTAAATAGAAATGTATAATCCCATCAAAAGAGCACTTTGGATGAATTTCGAAAGGCACAGAAGAAAGCTCCTGGTCTCTGTTTAATAAAAAGCTGCAATGGGCTGCAAATGCCCAGTGTGAGTCCTAAATATACAACTTCCAATGCCCGCATATAAATAAGGTCAGAATGAAACCGATCCAAAGGACGACAGTGGGAGCTTTCTCTTTTTTTTTTTTTTCATCTGAGAGAAGCCAGATGAATTTGGGTTACGTTTGAACTTTTTTGTGCTTTCTACAGTGGAGATGCATTAATCGTGTCACCACAGACACACACTATGTATTAATTTCAGTGCGTATTACTATGCAAAGCAACTCGTATATTTTTCCAACCACTCCCCCCAATGCATTTCTCCAGCATGCAGAAAGCCAGATGGGAGAGGTCTGCCTTCAGACTCCTTTATGCATCAGGCGTGGAACCATTCCACACACCTTCCAGACACCACCCTCCCCGCGGGGCTTCCACGTGGATCCCTGTGGAAAAGGCCAGGATGCTAGCGCCTTCTCTGGGGGGACTGTGGGGCGGGTCTCAGCCTCTCCCCTCCTCCAAGCTTCACCCTCAGCATCTGAGTCTCTCTCCTGACATCGGGTAAGAAGATCGGGGAGGGACACAGACCATGAGCACACCAGCTCCACCATCACGCCCATCACTACACCACCTTGCAAAGCGGCCTCATTTCTGACCGGAAGTGAACAGAGCTGGTACCCAGGGACACTCGTTCTCAAGAAGGAAGCTTCTGACTGTCTCCCCCAGACAAAACACAAGGGAAGAGTGACCAGAAGGACCGAAGCACAGGACAAGGTGGGGTTTTTAAGGACAGACATCACCCTACAACGCTAAGAAAGAACAAAGAAGGAGCTTCTTCCAAACTGATCGCTTCTTGGAAGAAGGCATTTTCTTCAGTTTTTCCTCAAGATGCCGACATTTCGGGAACCTTTTGGACAGTGGATGTAAGCGGCTGGGAGTAGCAAGATCTTCCTGACTCAGGAGCTTTTCTTCTAATTACGTGTTATTACTGGGATCGGCAAGCCAGGAGGCATTTATGTGCCGACGTGCGTTCTGGGGAGGCTGGCTGCGAAAAGAGCCTGTGAACTTTCTGACCTCTGGGGAATGTATCTTGAAAATCGTGCCGGGCTCCATAGCAACTGCATGATGATAACGGATGGCCAAACTTATTAAACCACTGAAAATTTTGCCTTTTCATGCTGCTTATGCAGATGGGTGCTAGATATCACATGGGGTTTGCAGGAATCATCCAGAAAGCTGGTTTGACTTCATAGTGTGGCAGTAAAAGAAGTGTGAAGCACAGAGTATTTCGGAAGAAAAATCATCTTTTTTTTATATATATACTGGCCTCAAGCATCCCTCCTGACCCCCAGAAGCCCCAGGGAATCTGGAGGACACAGCCCTGGGCTGCAGCCTTCTCTCTGATTCACCCTCCACACGGGGTATAAGTCGGTCATCAGTGGCATGGTGTCTTCATTCGCTGCCCCGACCCCACAGAGAAGACAGCTCACCAGCTGGCCCGGGGTCTGGGAGGTCATGTGGCAGGATGTGGGTGCCGGGAAAGGCAGAGCCCATGACTGGAGCAGAGCAGCCAGGATTGCCTCCTGGAGCAACACCCCCCAGGCTGCACACGTGAAGACTAAAGGGGCCGGCGAGACCCACGGAGAATCAGCATCTGAGCTACGCCAGCAAAGGAGCTTGCACAAACTCTCCTGACTCAGGACTTCCTGGGTTGCTTGGGGGGCTGGGGAGCAGGGACAGGTCAGCTGACGCCCCCCTCTCCCCCAATGCCAGCGTGGAACGTGGACACTGGCTCATCCTGACACTGGGAATTCCTCAAACCTGGGAAGAGGGTTCAGATACTAGTGGTTCTGCCACAAAGAATGACACGTGCTGAGTAAATGCTTATTTAAAGAGGGAGGGAGGGAAAGAGGGAAGGAGGGAAAGAGGGAAGGAGGGTGGGACATAATTTTTTAATAGAAGGCAATTATTTAAATTTTGAAAAACATTTACATTTCAGAAAAAGGAAGAAAGGGAGGAAGAGAGGGGAAGGAAGGAAGGAAGGAAGGAAGGAAGGAAAGAAGGAAGGAAGGAAGGAAGGAAGGAAGAAAGAATCATACAACTTGCCAAAGCCATAGGAAAAAAAGATGCCTGCTCCCACTGGCAGAATCGGGAACCGGGCAGGGGTGGCGAAGGGGGACAGGGC